CACAAACATTTAAAACAATATCGAAGTAGTTTATCCAAAACCTCCATCTAATCCAAGCAGATCAAATGATGCTCTTACATTTCACAAACGCTTTAACTCTGTTTGAATCAAGGATTCTTTGAATTTCCCCTTCCTGTCTGCCACAATCTTTATAACTGCTTCACAGGTTTATCCAGGGTGCAGGAATAAGCATAAACTTTTGTAAATATGGAGTGATGTCAAGCAGTAATATTAAGTTATGTTAATGTTACTAACATAGCCTAAATCTAAGAATAACAACTTACATCCCCTTTACTTATACCTGACTGAGCACATATGAAGGCTGAGTACATATCTGCTCACAGTCAAGCTAAGCTTCTGCCCTATTTTTATGGCACAACCATAAAAACGTATTGTTCTCAAGCAGCCACTTACCAATTTTTAGAGCCACCTCTAAACTGAAAATTCTTCTTAATTATCCCATTTCACACACGATCAGCTCTTATGAATCCCCTGTAAGTCATAATTAATTGATGACCTGTCAAACTTCAGCAAGCGATAAGGGCATTTTCACTCCTTTGAAACATTTTAAAATATGCGGTTAAAACAGGCTCTTTCTTGTGTCAATATAATCCTATTTAGAATTTTCCAGATTTTTATTCTATATGTATATTTAAACTAGTTTTAACAATAGAAAGAAAAGTATTTTTCTTTTTACTAATGGACTGTGGATACTTCCTGATGACTCACATTCTCCTTTAAATTGTTTGCCAATTGAAATTCACAGCATTGAACAGTATTTGAGAATTCTTAATGTTTCACCAACACAGTGAGAAAGTTAGTAGGTATTTGCATAAAAAGACATTAAAGAAGGGAACCCCATCAATCACTGTAATGCTGTGAGCAACGCAGGAGGAAATTCCTTATATCTTTAGAAATAACAGTACAGTGAGTTCTCCACCTAAAAATGCCGTATGTAAAATGCATGGTTTATTTATGGGACATTGCTGCAAATGAATCGTATATTACCAAAGATCTTTATTGGCGATAGAGGCTATCTGCTCTCGATATTCATCATCTGCCATGTTGTCACTTACCCTCCCTTCTGTTTTTGTTTTGATGTTGTGTTTTCTTGTGACTGACAAGATGGTGACTTAGAGCCGATTTGGGTTCATAGACAACCTCATGATTAATAAATTATCTTAGCATTAGCATCCAGGGCTTTAAACCCTCCTAATCAATCACATGGGAGTTTAGCTCGATGTTAGCCAAGCAGTGTGTTAGAGAATGCAGTTGTGTGCTTCATTCCCTCCCTTGTTTTGAAGGAAATTTAAGAAAGTAGTTAATCAAAGGTTCATTAGCATACAGCACCTTGCTCAGTCCACCCTTATACCCCGCTCATAATAGACACTTAGGCAGCCTGTGTGAGGGGAATATTAAGTGTGCTTCCATTTGCACTGGTGTTTGTTGAACAGAATGAAAATCCCTCATCCTAAAACAACTGTACAAAGTTTTTGTTTTCTTTTTACCTTAAATGATTCCATTAACAGTTTAGATTCAAGTTAATATAAAAGAGCATATCATATAGAGGTTTTGGAAAATGGAAGGATAATAAATATTACGTTGTTTTTCAGTGTTGCATGGAAATATTTCTAACTATCCAAGTTGGTCTTAAAACAAAAAAAAGCTTATAATTTTTATTTTCATTTTTTAGATTTTCTTTGAACATATCTGAGATTTGATTACTTTGAATGTTTCAGGTTTTTAGTTGAATATAAGAAATGCTGTTATTAATCAGCGATCAGATATCCTTCACTATGACTTTGATTCTTGTTCAGTCTTTAACATCTTGTCCCATGTTATCACAAGTTTTTACAAATAAAAACCTTTCTATTTTTCTTTAAGCTTTAATGCTTCTGATATTATTTCTTTGGTTATTATCCCAGTTGCCTGACATAAGCAAAGTGACCCAGGTCCTGGATACAATACTGTTCTTTATGTTAATAAAGGCTCTTGAAGGAGTGACATTGGTACTTTCTTAATAAAAAAGCAAGCATTTTAATTAGTAATTTAGAATAATATAGTATAGAAAATCCCTTTATTGTCCCACAATCGGGAAATTGTGGCGATTTATTTTTATTACTATGAGATGTATTATTAATGCCCCCCACTATTAGTAGATTTAACAGAAAGATTAGATTATTATCCATTATAGAAAAAATGTATAAAAAAATTTATTTTTTGTTCTGTCAGCATTATTATCCATTGCATGAAAATTGTCTAATATTATAAGTCATCATTAATATTAGCAAACTCCTTTGTTGTTTATACTCCTCTATGTTCGGCTGTTTAATATACAGTTCTTCTACAACCGTCCCTTCCAGATGCCAAGGGGCCTTAAATGGCTAGTCAGACAAATTGCATCCCTTTAACTCAGCTGTCAGTCAGATATATATAGCGGATTTCCCCATAGGGAAAATTTTTACTGGTGATGGCTTGTAAAAGACTAACACAGTATTGCATTAATGGTGTTTGGCTTCACTGTACTAAATAAACACTTATGATCTGACATAGAATAATTCTATAACAGTTTCAGTCAAGCAGCTGATGGATTCTATGGAGCTTAAGGTTTAATAGAACAGAGTAATAATAAATTGAATGTGTTTAAAATCACATTTTTTGGAATATTAGGAAATGACATCCAAACAGTAAGAGGTGCTTTCCTTCTGCATGTGACCAGCAGCTTTTTAGGTCAAATGTAAATTTTGAGATTTAGTTTGGGGTGATTAAAACCATGAAAAAAATATATTTTTAAATTGTATTAGGTTTTTCTATGACCATATTTCATGATTGCTCTTATTGTAAGTGATTAGTCTCTTATGTCTGGTTCTCATTTTAATCACCTACTGATAACGATTATGTAAATTTGTGTAGATAGCTGTGCACAAATATACAGGAACCTACTTATACTTGGGTAAAAGTTTCTATCCCTTACATTGTGGCAGAATTTTCTCTGCTTTTCTAAAAACTTTAATGTTCATATGTATTTTAAGTATGAACTTTGTCTCTTCAAAGTTTGCAACGATAAAAAGTTAACATAAACATGAACAACAGTAACAGGACGCTAACCTAGATCTGTTTTGACTTGAAAACTGTTAAATTAAACTACAATTTACAAAAGTTCATAAGGAGAAACCCAATGCTACAAGGAGAGAAGCGTAGCAGTCAAATTAGACATATTTTTAGATATTTGGCCACAACTGCAGAAGGATCCTTGAAGGAATCAAAGTCAGGCTTTGAAGCAAAAATTATACAAAAATTGAGTTGTTCGTTTAATGTTAGGTTGCTTTTCTCTGTTTAGTGGTTTCATTATATGGGTACGGTATTATTTATGAAAAGAATGGCATTAACATGGATGTTTTCGCCAAGCAGGTAATGGCTAAAGGCCAAATTCAAGGCTTCAAAACAGCCATAACTAACTAGTGATTTTTTATTTTATTTACTCTCTGGTATAAGGTGGTCTCTTACTCTCTGGTCTTTAGATTTGTACCTTCTCAGTGGGGTGTTGCATTGCATTACCTGATGAATAAATTAATCCACATTCAAATTTATGCAGTCACTGTGATAAGCATAATCACTGTACTGTATGACATATATGTTTATATGTACATTTTAGACAGGGATTGTTGACAATGTTTTATGTTTTAAAGGCCAGCTGAAGCCGTTTTTAAGGAAGAAATGTTTTGAAATAAAAAAGCTCAAACAGGAATCTGTATTGATCATAAGTGGGAAAAGAAGAGGAAATTGGAAACTGTAAACAACATCGGCTAAATAAGAAATGAAGACTAGAAGTAAGCCCCCAAATCAAAATTGTTGAACTTAAAGGTCACACAGCTAAAGAAAAAAAACAAAACAACGTATAGCAGCAAGGCCCAAATCCCTTGCTTCCATCATAAGAAGTAACATATAAATAGTGTGAGATGGTAAAGTGCTGGTGAAAATCAAAATGAAAAAGAAGAAATATGAGATGAATTAAAAAAGAATGAGTCTGGAATGGGCAAATCCCAGAGGTACTATTGATCTGTGCCTGCAACACACAAACATAGCTGTGCTGCCAGGTCAAATATGTATAATTGATGGAGTTGGGCTTGACACAGGCATGTAATGTGATCTGGGGCTGGAGTCTCATTGGTATTAGAATAGTGTGTGGGTGTGTTTTTATGTGTGGGGTAAGTGTGCACACTGGTTTAAGAGGAAAAGGACGAGGATTTGGTCTGGTGACTCAGTGTAAATTTGATGTATAAGAATGCTGTATTTTTCATTTTTACAAGTCCCCATGGAGGAACACCAAAAGGAACAATGGCCTGGCTGTAATGGTCTTTCATCTAAGGGGACTTAGTTATGAGTACAATACAAGATGTTGTTTAGGAGACTTGATGAAAGTCTGTGAAATGTACCTTCCCTCTTGACTTGATTTCACCTGCTTTAGAAAAGAGAATAAAGAAATGCAGAAATTTAGCCATCATGGCACTTTAATTAGTTATACATATATTATATCCCTATTTATTTTGGGTAATTTTCAGGCTGAATTTCAGCAGAATCTAAAAGAAAAAAAATGCTTTGTGGTCGAGAAAGCTGTACCATTTTATTCACAGTCACATTTACACAGACGGTCGTGCTTGTTTTTCTGCTGTTTTCCAGTGTTTCTTTGTAATGTTTGTATAAATGTGTGTGTATTTCTCCAGGTTTTTGTCTGCCCTGACAGCGTTCTTTGTTCCACTGTTGCTGTGTGTCTAGTTAAATAGCAGGCCTTTGAGAAGAAATCGATTTTGGCAACAAGATAACTAAGTTATCAAACTGTTTCATTGACTGACTGTCCTTTCTCTCCATTTCTTGTCCCATTTTTGCTATTCCATCTCCTTTCTTTCTTCCCATTTTCCCCCTCTCTTCTCTCATGTTTCCCTTTTCTGTCATTCCCTCTGCGTTTTCCTCGTTTGCTTTCCCGCCCCCTCTCACAACAGGCCGACAGACTTGTCCACCAGATAAGTTTGATTGTGGAGGAGTTGCCAGCAAATGTGTTTCGTTATCATGGCGATGTGACGGAGAGAGGGACTGTGAAAACGGGGCAGATGAGGAGGAGTGTGCTGCAGGTAAGCCTTTAGTTTGGTTATTTTGAATATAGGAAACCCCCCAAAAAATTGTGAGCATTCTAAAATGCATATTACATTTCCAACTTTCAGAGTGTATTAATATATTTAGAGTCAAGCAATATGTAAGTGAATTATTACAAATATTTACACACTCAACAATATTGTCACCTTTTAAATGTTTCAACAGGACGGGCATAAAAGATTGAATAAAATGCATCATTTAAATCACTATAATTATTCGAATCTGTTTTCCAGCATAAAGCTCCAACGTAATGAGAGATTTGCCAGATGTAAATACCTTGAGTAAAAATAGCCGCATGTTGCAATATTTACAGGTATAATGGAAGATTAGTTGCTAATTTTTGAAAAGACCCATCCTCTCCACTTAAAAAAAAAGAAATGCATATGCACAACGCTGTACCCACTCCAGGGGGTAAAGTGTAATAAATGTGTGCAAGAGCTTGCACAAGCCCATTTCTCCTCGTGCACGTTCTGTCTAAAAGTCGCTGTTTATAAGCTTACTTTCCAGAAGAAGTTTTGCAAGTATTCCACGACTCACCACCGGTAAGTGAAAACGTGTACGAGCACGTAGGACGGTAAACATATCACCACACATCCTCCCCTTTATCCCCAAAGATACTTTAAATACCTTTTTTGATATTGTTAAATGCATTTCACTTATTTCAAGTCGAATATTACAATTTAGATAATGCTTTCTGTAACTTTTATTTATTTGCTACTAAATTTGACTGTAGACTTCAGATGCTAATTCCAGAACACTTGATACATTTTATTTTATTTTTTTAGACTGCATAGATGTACAGAGAGAATATTAGCTGCATTAGCTGGATACAGTAGTAGCCATTCAACATTTCCCCACATTGCTTGATGGGCCCTTGGCTGGTCCCCTACAATTCCTTTTTAAACATCAATATTTGCACTAAAATATTCTTTTTGTCATGATTTGTGGACTTTAAGATCTAAAGGGATGCCCCATCTCCTGGTCAGACCCTGTAATTCAGTGAAAGGGTGGAGTCAGAGTAAAAAAACAATTGCACGCCCAGGAGAAGGCCAGTGGCTGGAAGTTAGATGGGATTTTGCCAGGAGCTGCAGGGAAATGGGCTGCCATTCGGCTGGTGTTTGACTGGAAAGGGCCATTTTGAATGGCTGCTACTGTAACTAGTGGATGCTTGGATATCTAGCCTGAAGCAAAGTGTAGTTTCCCAAAGGAAGAATTAAACGTTACATGAATATAAGGGATAAGCAACTCTCCAAGAGATTATGTTTTTTTGAGCAGTGCGTTGCTAAACAAAAGTATAATTTCTTTCTTGTAAACAAGGAAAACCTGCTGGAATCAATATCCTGCCGGCTGTGCGGAGAAACAGGTCAGGGAGGCAGTTTATAGAGCTTTGCGGATCGTAAAGAATGATAGAAAGTTACATCCTCTTGAACTTTCTCTGGCATCTCATAATTAGCCCTTCTAGCATTTTTTTTTTAAACTGTGTTATTTAAAATCCTTGCTATACAAAGGTAGGTAGAATTTGTGGCAGCTCTAGTATGCCTCTGACTCATTAAGCATAGGGTGGCCACATACTCCTATTAGCTGTCTAGTTTGAGGGCAAGACTGCTTCATGGGTCGATAGGGTGATGTGTTGATATTGCATGGCTTGTGCAACTTGACAGCTGCAGATTGTAAAGGAATAATGAAGACAGATGTCAATTTTCAGATGGGATATACAGCTCAAATCTGAAGCATTTGCTTGGTCACCAACTGGATGGTTGCCCTGAGTTGTCCATCATTATTTTGAAATGGTTTATGCGGAAACTTTTATGAACAGAGGATATGTTTTCCTCTCATTCTAAATTTCTGGTGTTAATTTTAAAAACTCTCTGCCCATAAAGCAGAGAGTTACATTTTTCAATTTGTTTAAAGCACAATATTTTATTATTTAGTATTAATACCATTATTTTTTGAATTCTTATTATAAATACCTCCGATTACACGGCATAGAAACTTCTATTTCTTTTACGGCCACTATTAAACTGCTAATAGAACATGCAATATTGTGATTTTAACAAGACAGAACGGTTGTGCAGTTTGTTTTGCAATCTTTGCACGGACAAAATAATTATTGCTTGTTCAATTTAGCGCTCCTTATTTGGAATCTTTGAAGATCAGGCCCATTGAGCTTTTGTGATTTCCAAACCTGAAACAAACAGAAACATGCAAGTATATCATTTTTCAATAAATGGGTTGAATCACAGAAAATGTTACTTATACTCGATATAGGTATGCATATTTCTACAGGATGGATTTGTTTAGATCAATCTGCTCTTTCTGTTATAACTGTTAATTCTCCATTTGTAAAGACCAGCTGTTATCTTCATCTGACACATTGACATTTGTCTTAAAGATAATCAACCAAATACTTTGTGGAATTTTATAAACTCATAATGAATCATGAGAAGAAAAACTTGTGTAGTTGATGTGTGAGCAATCTTAGCAGCTTTAATCCTTACCGAGTAGTAGAAAATGTAAAAAAAAGAAATCTGATTATAATTGCTAACAGATCTAGAGAAAATGTCTAACCTTTCGTGAAATAATTGTAGCCAAGACTGCTTTTTATCTTCCTTTGTGGCCTTAAAATAAGAAGTGCAAGATTTTGGGCTCCTTCTAAGGTCCTTAATAATTTAGACCCCCCCTGGCTAGTATCAAAGCAGTTAAATGTGCTCTGGTTCTTTAATCTCCTGCTCCTCAACCTCTCAAAGCAATTGGTTGTTAAATTGAGGTGCTTTCGGGAATGTAAAGCTGTTTGTTCAGCAACTAGCAAGAGATTACATACAATAAACCGTAAGTTTGAATGTCTTCTTTCTATTAATTTCAGCTGACTTTGCCTCACCTGTCAGGTACACCGAATACCAGAATATTTGGATCTGTTGACAAAGGTTCTACATTTACCAGCTTTTTCTACATTCGACTTTTCTAACTCTGTTGGACCAGTTAATCAAATACAGCGAATACAGAAATAGACATTCAACCCAGACTGATGATGCTATTTTACATACCCGCTTTGTTTCTCTCATGTCCAATTTATTAAAAAAATAACAAAATTTCTATGTTAACTTTCTATTTTCTCTGCACCAGTGCTTGATTTCTTTTAATTATCTGACATGAAGGCCAAACATAGATCATATATTCTTTTTAATGCCTTTCATCTTTCTGACCTGTGTAAGCTTCTGTCTATTATTGTAGGTGGTTAATAAAGCTGCTTAAAATTTCATGGGATTTTCAATGATAATTGATTTTGAGCCTCATGTGGTTTGACTGTGTCTGAGGTGTTATGGCAGGCCTGCTGGTTTAATAACCTGCCGACATCATCTTTTGATCTATCATTTAGAGATATAGGAATGAATATTAATATTAATGTGGCATCCGTAGAACGGCGTTTGTTAACTGAGATCTCTCATAAATGTTGACTCCAGTAGACGCACAGAACTAAAAGGGGCTGTGGAGAGTTTTGGTTAATCAGCTGAAAGGCTAAATGGCCTGGGTAGGCCAAACCATATCTGCATATGTTCCTGTTAGAAAGAACAGAAATTGTCTTCAATGTGTTCCAAATGTATCATTGTCAGAATATCCAGGTATGCAATAGGCATTACCTTAAGAAATGTTTGGTCTGTAACAAATGTAAGGTAATTTTTTAACAACCATGAATAAAGGAACTCAGTTTCAATGTATTCACTGACACTTGGTGAATGCAAAAGGTATTGTGGGGGTAAGGTGGTGAAGTCATTAAGACATGAAAACTGTAGCTTGCTTCATTGATAAACACCAAATGAAGGGCAGAATATTTTTTTCTGAAAAAATAAAAAAATAAAAAAATTATCTGTTGAGATGTATAAAACACATCTCAACAGCTTTATTTTACATTATTACAGAACTTATACATTTTTTCTTATGTTGTACAGCAATAGTTGTACAGTATTTTTTTATGATTAGATCTGAATAATGTATTACTGAAACAGAGCATACTTTCTTTATACTATGACTTTAGGTGAACTTCATGCACAGCTTATTTGGTTGGGAACCTAAAATTTGTTTCTGTTTGGTTTTAGAGGGATTTGACATTGTTCTTTTTGCAAGTGGTATGTAGTCTGTAACAAAACATGTGTGACGATAGTTTATCCAGTTGGACAAAATTGAGTAGGTTAAGGTGGAGCATGAAAACAGAACTCCAGAAAAACTCTCTGGGACCCTCTGAGTGCAGAATTTATACATATATATATATATATATATATATATATATATATATA